CAACTGTCTTATTTCTGTGTGTAAACAGTACTACAATACATTTTCTTAGCTCAGTAATATCAAGCATTTGTTTTGAAAGGTGATAGTGTACTTTTATGAGCTATTTTAATGTAAAGTATCTTGTTATATTTGGCACAGCGTATACGCCGTATACGGAAGTAGTGTATTGTATATGGGTCCTGCTGACCCAGTTTACGCCCGTAATTATACGCGCGTATGCGTATACGTGGGAAATTTTACGCGCGTAAGCGTATACGCTACGCGCGGAGCACTACGTCCTCCGAGACTATCCCTACTGCAAACCTTGGCCAAGAACTCGATATCACGATCAACCGTGGCACTACGCACCAGGATGCACAGACAAGTCTCACTTCGAAGCACAGTGCACCAGAGCAATTTGCACAGGGCTATGACGCGAGTAAAGGTCAATACGTTGACATGATCAGTAGGAGTCGTGAGGACATCAGTGTACAGAGTGAAGGACGTACGCTCACACGCTTTGATGATGAAATACCACCGAACCAGCCTGTACTCCCACACACCCAGCCTGTTTCCGCATCTGAATCAAAGCATGTAGCCCCTAGACAGAATGACCCAGCTCTTTTGGACGCAATTTGGAGATTCAAAGTAATGTCTGAAAAAAAAGATATTGATCAGTTATTCTGGGGCCGTCTAACAGCTATGCTGGTGTTCCTACGCTTGTATGTTGAGAGTGAAGATATGGGTTGGATTGATGCATCTGTCCTTGCTGCCTCGTTAGCTGAAGACCGGGGGGTACATTTGGCTAGAAATCTTCGATGCTGGGTACGACACCACCTTACTGATATTAAGTATTATCCTATAAATCTTTATGGGACATGGAAAAGGTCTATTATTAGTGATGAAGACTTTTCTATGAGCATTCAAGCTCACTTACAGAGTCTTGGAAAGCAATAATTATCAGCAAAGGATGTTCAAGACTATTTAAACCAGCCAAATGTTCTTGCTCAGCTTGGACACTCCAAAACTATCACTTTACAAACTGCAAGGCACTGGATGAATGCTATAGGGTATAAGTATGGGAAGGCACCTAATGGAATGTATATTGATGGTCATGAGCAAGAGGATGTTGTTTATTATTGTCAACATGTCTTTCTACCACTCTGGAGAGTGTATGGAGAGTATATGGACTCTGGTCATTTCATTCTGGTTACTCATGATGAGTCTACTTTCTATACAAATGACCAGAGGAAAATCTTGTGGTACCATACAGAAGATACTCCTAAACCAAGAGCTAAGGGCAAGGGTATGTCTATTATAGTGTCTGACTTTTGTATCCCTGGATATGGGTGGCTTAAATCTTCAAATGGGTAAGTTTTACACTTATTTCAATTGTAAATTCTATACTAAAATAAATGATTTTAGAGCTCAGGAGGCATGCATTTACTTTAAAGCTGGCAAGAATAGAGACAGCTACTTCACTCATGATCATCTACAGCAACAAGTCTTATCAGCTATCAAACTGTTTGAAGACACTTTTCCAGACAAAACAGCTATTTTTGCCTTTGATAATGTTACCTCTCATTAAAAAAGAGCTCCTAATACACTCTCAGCACATCATATGCCAAAAAACCCAGGATGGAAGGCAAGGATTTCAGCTAATCTCCCCCCTATGAGTAGGGCTCAGTACTGTACTGTATACAGATACAGGCCATATAATACAACCCTTATACAGATATAGCTTGTATAATACAGTACTGTATTTCTGAACCCAAAAACCTATACAGATACAGTACAGCTGTATACAGAATGTATACACCATATACAGATACAGTATAGTTGCTACATTTACCAAGGTGTAGTATGAAATGTAAGGGGCTACATCATTGTGATATTACCTCTTTAGTATAGAAATATTGAATTCTACCTATATTATACCTTAATCTACATGAAATGTATAAAATTTGACTTATTGACATTTTGTTATGTAATTTAGTCTGTGATATTTGTCATAAAGTCGAGTCATGTGATGTACCTATATATTGGAATATATATCAGATTGTACATACTTTTACAATAATAGTGCTGAATATATTAGTAAATGCTAGTATAAGTATCTGAACATTGAATACTACTTATTAGAGCTTCAGTATTATGTTTAGAGCAAGATTTTCTTTCATTTAGTAGCTGTATATTGTATACAGGCATATACAGTCTGTATTATACAGACTATATACAGTTACAGCCTGTAAAATATGTACTGTATTTTTGAGTCAAATTTTTTATACAGATACAGTACAGTACTGTATACAAAAATGCTGTATCCATATAATACAGTACAGGACCAAGCCCTACCTATGAGGCCTGGACTTCTTCCTAATGGATCCCCTCAATCCTTTTACTTTCCATTTGATTACACAACTTATCCTAGTCAATTTAAAGGTATAGCTTTGATTCTTCAAGAAAGAGGCATTAATGTTGAAGGAAAACTGGCTCAATGTAATGGATTTAAATGTGCTGACAAATCAGTCACATCCATGTGTTGCTGTCAACAAATTCTGTTCAACCAGTCTGACTTTTTGGCACAAAAGTCAGCTATTGAGGAGTTGATTGAAGGACATGGACACAAGGTTTTATTCTATCCAAAGTTTTACTGTGAACTGAACTTCATTAAACAGTGTTAGGGTAATGCAAAATATCACTACCAAATGATGCCTCACCCAAATAATGAGAATCAAATGGAATCTCATATTAAATCATGCCTTGACTCAATTCCTCTTAATTTATTTCAAAAGTAAGTATATTTTTACTTTATTTACTTATTATAACTTTCTTATAATACTTTATAGGTTTGCTAATCAGTCTGCCTGGTTTATTAATGCATACAAGAAAGGACTTACAGGGGTTCAAGCTTAATAGGCATGTAGAAAGTATAAGAGTCATAGGGTGCTTCCAGACAGTCTTATAGAAGATTTAGAGGCAGCTCATCTGTAATTTATATTATATTTTGTCTATGTACTTGTACTCAAAAATGTTAAAGAAAATGTTGCAGTCTACCCCACGATTTTTGCCATCAGGGTCCTTCCTAATGGGGAAGGTGGCTGTGCTGTGACTGATGTGACAGGTTGGTTGAGTTTATGTTTTCCCAACCTTATGTTCTAATTTCTGACTCTCTCCTATTTCTAGACTACTATATTCTTGTAAAAGGTAGCTCCACTCTAATCTGTATCTGACTCATAATTGACTCTAGTTGTTCTACAGTTCTGATTAATGAGAAACTAGTGTCCTGAATGTATTTTAAGCAATTCCTACTTAAGAAACACATTATTATAATACTAGTAATCAAATCAGTAAAAGAGTCAGGGAAACAGATTATAGAGTAGGTAAAGCTATAAGTGTAGTTAGTAGATTAGAAATGAACATTAAAGTTTGTAAAAGCTTGTATAGTTAATAACTTATATAATAAAATAATTCTTAGTACTCTCTTTCTTTAGAAGAATCAGATTATTATTAACATAGAAAGATAGACAGTTATTCTAAGGGATTCTAACTATAATTTAATGAAATCAGAAGTTACAGAACCAGTTTGTGTCCTACAGTCAGCTTACAGAATCCTAGAATCTACACTATTTTTGGTCACAACTGTCTGAGAGTGTATAGAGACTCTAGCTAGGTTAGAGAGATTTAAGACACTAGATAGGAAGCTAAAGTAATAGTATTAGGACTACTTCCTAGACACTATGTTACTAGTTACAGAGCTTCCTGAAGGTGTTACACATAGTATATAACTTAAGGATCCCTCTAAAGTAGTAGCTACACAATCTTATACTTGTTTATAGAAATACTAGAAGGCTTAGTACACACTCATTAATTAGTATACTTAGACAGGTTGTTTGTACAGGTTAGAAAGCCTATATACATTACTTACATTCCTCATCCTAAAGACAGATCCTGTAGACCTGCTACAAATAGTATACAATTATTAGGCACTAAACAGTAACACAATTTACAATTGTACCCTACTTCCCTACATTAATAAGATTATGAATAATACTATTTAGAAATGTATATATACTAAGATTAACATGACTAATATATTCTTTCAAACATATATAAACTCAGAACATATTCTACTCACTATAATTAGTACTCTATTTAGATTGTATGAATAAACAGTTATACTAATAGGGTTATACAATATGTTAGTTACACAATAATAGTAGGTTACAAGAGTACTAGGGTATCTTATTAGGAAAATTTGTCATGTTTACTTGAATGACATTATTATCTAGTTAGAGTCTAAAGTGGAACACATTAGGAATATTAGATAGTACTGTACTAGGGAAGTGCTAAACACTGTTACAAACAAGTTCTGAGTTTGTAGTAACACATAAAGGCTGACAGGACAAAGGTATCTTTGTTACAGTCAGGAATACAAACTGATACTTGTATAGACAAAGAACTCACCTTTGTTATAGTCAGGAATATGAACTGATACAATAAAGGTAAAGGATACTAACTATATATACTAAGGAAATAGTTCATACCTAAAGGGGAAAATAAAAGGGGGAGCAAAAAGGGGGGACATAATGTATACTTAAAGGGGAAGACAAAAGGAGATAGTATGTATCTAGGAATGTAGGAAAGGTGGTTATGATAAAAGGGGGACTTAATACAAGCACAAAGGAAAAGTGTATAACTTAGTAAGCTACTATAAGAATCTGTATACAGGAAACACAGTTCTGTACTAGGACAGGTGTAGAATTGTGTAGAAACTGTTGTAAACTGTTAAGTAGGCTTACACTCCTCCCCTCTCTAAAAAAATAATACTCTCATAAGGATGTAAAGCTAACTAGGCTTGTAGAACTTTAGAGGCTAACCTTTAGAGTTCTGACTATACTTTCTATTCCTGTCCCTGTTTACCCTATCCTACCTATTCTACTAAATACTACTAATCTTACTCTCTGTGTCTTGTGTCTACAATCTGTAACACCTTGTAAACCTTCTCCTCTCCTTCTACCAGACCTGGTTGATTAAGAGTATGTTGTAGAAAGAGTACATTATTATTTAGAACATAACACTTGAGTTAGCTTGTATAGAATCCTAGGAAGGTTTGATTAGAGTTGAGTAGCTCTAGAGTATATTCTGACTTGTCTAGATTTGCTATAATAATAAAGTACAGTTTATTATAGTAAGGTATGAATTTTGTAGTATGTTCTAGTGTTTATACAAGGTAGTCCTGACAGTAATTATATATAGAGAGTATAACTTAGTCTCTTACTGTAAAACAATCTTCTGTAGTACAGTCCTGATTTGTGTAATATGCCTAACAGGTCTTAACTACTAAAAGGGTGTCTTGTACCTCTACAACATCCTAATGTATTAAAACAATTAGCATCATACTAAGAACTGTACATTACATACAGACAATCACAGTAATCAATTCTAAACACTCATGTGACTTATAGAAGCATATTCTGAGAACACCTAACTATTCTGTATTGTAAGTGTTTGCAAACAGAACTGTAAGTGTGTACAGTCTTGGAATTGGCTTACACACACTGTTTACCTCACAGGATGTACAGATTATGTACTTATCACAGGCTCAGAACACAAGTTGTGTTACAGTAAGTGGCTCAGCAAACCATTATGTTATTATTGCCTAGATTAAAGTACTACAATCTTTTAATCAGATAGAACATTAGGGCAATCAAAGTGGTGATCTTAGGAGACAGTCAGAAATCTCAGAACTCTCTGCACTTTGTCTGCACCAATCAGATGGTAACAGTATGAGAACCTGCTACTTCTTTCAATGTAAATCTTGCTTTTCCTTTTACATAACATTTCCTGTGGTTAGAATGTAGACCACTTAAATTTTCCTTATACATTTTCACCCCCATTTTCTTCCAACCTCTAGCAAAAGGTTCTCTTATTTGTTCTTGTATATTTCGTTATTTTTCTTTTGTTCAGCCATAACATTTCCCTGTTAGTACTACACTTTTCTAGAACTTAGAAAACTATAAATACAGCTACTCATATACTAGATACAGGGGGAATTCAGATAGTTCACCTATTGATTTAGCTCTTGTCTTTTGTCTCAAAGTCCTCTAGCATGAGGCATAGTCTTAGTCTTTGTTGTTTTCCATATTAGTTTGTTTGTTGTGTGCTTTGTAAGTACACTTTCCATTATTTACATTTCTCTTCTAAGGTCACAACTGTGCTAGAAGAACTTGCACCTGTTTGGAACCACTCTAGTCTCATAAGACTCATAGTTTAGCTCCCCCTCAAACTTAACAAATCACCTGTGTTCTTCTCTTAGACACTTTACAGGAGTTTCAGTATGTAGGCTAGGAATTCTAATACTTGTACTTCTAGAGAATCTGCTTACTACTGTTCCAGTTGTATAAACAGTAGAACTTTCTATAGTAAGTATCTATAATGTAGTTAGAATAGGGAATATTCTGTAGAAGCATTTACTGTGTTTATAATACAGAACCAAACCTATAAAAGCTGAACCTACTAACCCTACTGTTAGTAATTAACATAAAAGTATATTAACTAGCTTACTATCTTATTAGTATGCTCACTTACTCTATCTGTCTCTAAGTAGTATACTGTCAACATCTTCAGCTTTATGTCTGTCCTTGTGTGTAATACAGTCTAAAATCCAGACAGGAACAGACAGTCCTAGTCAGAAACAATTTCCTAAAGTAAGCTGTTTTTACAATACTATTTATTAAAGAACAGTTCTACAAATTCTTCTACTATTATGTTTATCCTACACAGTTCAATCCTAATGTTTACACTACTTAGTCAATCTGTCATTGTTACTATTCTGTTGTATCTACTGTCTTCTAGCAACAGTCTGACAAAGTCAATCACAATACTCTTAAAACACACATTCAGAACTAGTAGTAAATGTAGTAGACTAGCAGGTTTTGTAGTTAGGTTCTTGTTATATTAGTATATATTATAGTTCAGAATGTAGTTCTGTTCCAGATCCTAGCACATATTAAACTAATAGAATAAGTTGTATAAGGACAGATAAGTCTTGTCTACACTAAAATGTCTTAGTTCATTATACACAAGGTAGTATAAGGTTTTACACATGTTTCCAGACCTTAGAATTACTAACTGGTTGTCTAGGTATAGAAGTCTATAATCCTTACAAGCTCTCACAATACTTCTGAGATTGTATTAAAGCTTGTAACAGAACTCATCTATGTTGTAACTGTTCCTAATTGTTATAAGAAGGTTAGGATCTGTAAAGATTTGTATAAACATACTTCCTAAGGTTTCCTATACTAGGTTCTCATGTTCTAGACCAGAATCAAAGTCTAAGTAGTAGGAGAGTGTATTAGCAACTGTGTTCTCTTCTCCTTTAATATAATACAGTTTGTAGTCATACTAGGAAAGGTCCTCTATCTACTAGACTTGTCTCTAGGACAGATTGTACTGTGTATCTAAGTATTTGAGAGTATAGTAATCTGTGTAGACATGGAAATGTACTCCTAGGAGGTAAATGTACTATTTCTTAAGTGTATAAACAATTGTGAGAAGTTCACACTTGTATACTAGGTAATTGTGTTCTACACTGTTACATTACTTAGACTCAAATACTACAAGTTTTACTGTTTTCTATAAGGATCCAATACTAAGAACTACTCTAGTTCTAGAATCACTCATATTTATAGTTATGTAGATCTACTCTCCTGAATTGTGATCTACAGAAGTGAGACACTTGTAGCTAGTAACAATAGACTTGATTACTTTAAAAGTGTGTTAGTGTTCTAGCTTCTACTCTAGAAATACCTTATTATAATCCTTACTTGTAAGTAGGGAAAGAACTATAGTATGTTTTATAAGGTGTAAAAAGTATACTGTAATATACTGTAAAAGTCTAAAGAGCTTACAAACATTCTAGGCTTTCTAGAGCTGTAACTATTGTAAAATGTGCTTGACTTTGTCTGAGTCTGCTTCTGTACCCTTTTCTGTAATTAGATGCTTGAGAAACTTAACCTCTGTACAGAATAACTTAGTTTTCTATTACAAACAGACAAGACCTTTGTTATAGAGTGTCTACATAACCTTTCTAATGTTTCTAATGTGTTCTACCTCTAACTCTGACTAGATAATAATATTATCCAAGTAGACATGACAGATCCTTCTAATAAGATACTCTAAAGCTCTTATAACTCTTTATTATTGTATAGCTAGTATGTTATATAATTCTATTAGTATGACTGTCTACTCATATAGTCTGAACAGAGTACTAATTGTAGTGAGCAGAATATGTTCTAGATTCATACAGGTTTAGAAGAATGTGTTAGTCATGTTAATCTTTACATATATGTATCCTCTAATAGTGTTATTCATGATTTTGTTAATACAGAGTAGTAGGGTCTGGTCACAAATCATGTTACTATTTAGTGCCTAGTAGTTACATACTATGTGTAGAAGGTCCTCCAGATCTGCCTTTAGGATTAAGAATGTGAGTAATACATACAGGCTTTCTAACCTCTACAAACAACTAGCTTGAGTGTACTAATCTAAGAGTGTGTACTAGGTCTTCTAGTATTTCTACAGGCATGTATAAGACCTTGTAGCTACTACCTTCAACAGGTCCTTAAACTGTATATTGTGTGTAATCCCTTCTAGAAGTTCTGTAACTAATAGTATAGAGTTTAGGAAGCAATCTTAGTATTGTTACTTTAGCTCCCTATCTAAGGTCTTATGTCTTTCTAACCTAACTAGTGTCTTAATATACTCCTAAACAGTTACAGTCAGGGATAGTACTAGTTCTGAGAGGATGTGTATAGGTTGTAGAACACAGACTGATTCTATCTTTTCTGCCTTCATTAGATCACATTTAGAATCCTTTAGAATAACTGTCTAACCTTCTATGTTAATAACAATTCAGTTCTTCTAAAGGAAAGGGGTACTAAGAATCATCTCATTATACAAGTTATTAACTACACAAGCTTTTACAACCTTTAATGTCCATTTCTGATCTACTGACTGTATCTACAACTTTACCTACTCTGTAATCCATTTTCCTGACTCTTCTACTAATTTGATTATAAGTGTTATAATAATGTGTCTTTTGAGTAGGAAGCACTTAAGGCCTATCTAGGACACTAGTTTCTCATCAAACAGAACTGTAGAACAGTCAGAGTCAATTATGGGTTAGATTTGGATTAGAGTAGAACTACCTTCTATAAGGATATAACAGTTAGAGAATAGTAAGGAGTCAGAAATTAGGATGTACTTGGATTTGTCTCTACTTACAGGTTCTAGTACTATAGACTACTCAGTTTGTACAAGTATAGCAGACTTTTGCTTCAGACATAGAGACTCTATATATACTTCTATAATAAGAACTGTGTCTTCAGGTTTTAGCAGACCTGTCAGACAATTGTTACCCTTATAGTTTACAAACAGTTTGTAACACTAGAAACATTCTTAGTTCTTTATTAGGAGTTAGTACTCTGTATAGAACAAGGTAATATACTTTGTAGTACTTTCTGAGATAACCTTTAGGTAGTACTCTGTGTGTAGTATATATACTTATGTGTATAAAATTTCCCATATATACACATACACACATATAATTACAGGTATAAACTGGGTCAGTAGGACTCATATACAATACACTACTTCTGTATACAGTATATACAGTGTATACACTGTGCCAAATATAACAAGATACTTTACATTAAAATAGCTTATAAAAGTACACTATTATCTTTTAAAACAAATGCTTAATATTACTAAGCTAAGAAAATGTATTATAGTACTGTTTACACACAGAAATAAGACAGTTGAGTGTTGTGAGTTAATCTTATGTAACAGCTCTAAACCTTTATGTAATGTACTATAGTAACTATACTAACTATAGTACTCATACTAGTACTTTGTAAGTTAAACAAGGTTGTTGTAAGGATAGGTATACTAGCCTTACACAAAGATTCTCTCTTTACCAGCACACTCAACTACTGACTGGGATAACCTAGTAATCGAGTGCTGAGAAGGAGAAAGAATCCCCTAACCCTTAGCTCAAAAACCCTTTATATATGTGTATACATGTGTAGTAGGATACAGGGTAGTCTAGTGAACAAAAAGGAAAACACCCACAAGCACCTACAACACATGTTGTGCAAATGCACAGGTAGCACAATTGTTACACTCGCCCTCCAGCATTTAGTCCTAAATGCTAAGGGAGTTAGTACCAAAATAAACGAAATAACAACACAAAAATGAAAGAAAACGTTAGTAACTTACTATGAAGTTCAGTACTGCTGTACTAGGACGTTCTCCACAGCCATGGATGTGTCTTCAATCAGTCCTGTAGTGGACTGGACGTGTTCCTATCTGGCTTGGACATGTTCTGTGGTGGAACTGGTGGAACTCACAGTGGATTGGTTGGAATGGCTGTTGGATTGAGTAGAAAGCAGCAGATTTGGCAGTAGAGTAATGCCTTGAGTGTTGAATGAGCTCAGAGCACTCATATCAAGTACTGAAGTAAGATCAGTAGACGTTGAGGGCAATTGTGAATCGATCCGAGAACGTTTACAGTTGTGTGAGTAGAATATAGTGGTTCCATTGTCAATTTGCTCAGCTCTACACTTTGCACCTAAGTAAAATAGTAAGGTATATGTGCTTGTAATAATATAATACAGAATATATGTGCATTTACCTTGGTTCAAAGCCATGTTCTTATGGTATACAAAGTCCTGGGACACTTGCATCATCTTAGCATGTTGAATACAGTCTTAGAACAGTGGTAGTAGGCTCAGTCTCGTATGAGAAGGAACATGGAAGTTATACAAGCATAATACAATAAGATAACACTCTGGGAGTTGCATAGTAGGGTCAAGGGAATTGTTGTGGATAGCCCTGGAGAAAGCTACAATCTCCTTGAGCTCCTCTCAATCGAAAACATAGTCAGTACTTGTACTGTGGTTGTGAGTAACCCAATCCTGCATGATTGGTTGTGCTCAAGGGCCAACTAAGAGTTGTAGAGGAGGATGAGGCATATTTGTGCCTTGTAGAAAAGCAGATGCAAATGTATGAGTAATGGATTCTTGAGTAGTAGACATGATATGCACAGTAAAGTGACTATATGTACAGTTTTTAAAGCCTTTACATATGTCTACCTGTATGTCTATGCTGTAGCATTGTGTTTGAAAGGTTGCCTCATGTTTTACTAGACTGATACTAACCTGAGGGTCATCAGTATTGAGTTTTCCCTTTCCTAGAGTTAGTGTATTGATAGAATCGATTCTAAGTATGTCTAAGTATTCCTTTAATACCTCAAGGTGCACAATTTTATCATAGAGTAGCCATGTGTGATCTCTGGACTTCCATAGTACTTTGAACAAAGCAGTAGTCCCTTGTCCTGCATGAGTTTCAATTGAATCTACTGTCCATTCCTTGTTCTTGTTGTTTAATCCAGTAACTTGTCCTACTTCCCTTCCAGGGAATAATCTATCATTGTTTGGAACATTGTATCCTAGTAGTGATGAATGAA